AAAATGTAAGTTGATATGATTTGGCTTTGTGTCCCCATCCAAATCCCATCTTGAATTGTAATCCCCAGTTATTGAGAGAGGGACCTGCTGGGAGGTGATTGGATCATAGGAGCATTTTCCCCCTGCTGTTCTCGTGATAATGACTGAGTTCTTATGCGATTGGAAGGTTTTATAAGTGGAAGCTTCTCCTGCTCTCTCTTTTCCTGCCATCTGGTAAAGAAAGTACTTGCTTCTCCTATCCCTTCTGCCATGATTTGATGTTTCCTGAGGACTCCCCAGCTATGCAGAACTGTGAGTCAAGTAAGCATCTTTCATTTAGAAATTATCCAGTCTCTTGTAGTATGTTTGTAACAGTGTGAGAACTGACAAATACGTAAGTCTAGCTAGACTCAAAGGAGAAAAATAAAGACTAGACTGAGAAGAATCTTCTATTGTTAAAGACTGTCAAATTTTAGATTAAAGTATTAAATTGGGACTCAGTACGGTGGCTCACGCCTGTATTCACAGCACTTTGGGAGGCAGAGGCAGGTGGATCACCTGAGGTCGAGTGTTCTAGACTAGCCTGACCAACATGGAGAAACCCTGTCTCTACTAAATATACAAAAAATAAATAAATAAATAATAATAAAAAATAGCAGGGCATGGTGGCACATGCCTGTAATCCCAGTTACTCAAGACTGAGGCAGGAGAATCAGGAAGCCTAGAGGCGAAGGTTGTGGTGAGCTGAGATTGTGTCATTGCACTCCAGTCTGGGCAACAAAAACAAAACTCCATCTCAAAGAAAACAAAAATTAAATTAGATATCTATATGTTTAGGTATCCAAAACCAAAAGTCCTTTCTTTTCATTCATGTTCTTTCATACTTGTTATATTCATTTAAGGTAATATGGTTGTATTTCTCAGCTTAAAAGAAGCTCTGAAACTTGACATAAAATGCTGATGATCCTGTGGAATGCACAGCAATTTCTTTAATGTTCTTTCTTTTACCTATAATTGACTCTCTATTCAGCTTTCATATTTCTGTGCTAGGATGAAAACTGTAACTTCACCTTATTTCTCACATGATCTAGAATGTTCTTTTTTCCTATTAGGTCTGGCTTCTTCATGTATAACTTCACTTGTTAGTTTTTTTATAACAAAAATGAAAAAAATTATATAAGTTACAGTGGATAGCTACTGCCAATTTCCATTCTGTCATTTTTATTAATAAAAAGAAATTCCTTTAGGATAAGAAAAGTGCTTCCTAAGTAGTTATTTATTCATTCTTTAATATGTTTGATTTTTTAAAGCCAGAATAGTCTTGCATTCACTGAATTATTTTTTTAACTTTTGTAGGGCTACTTAAAAATCAAAGGAATGAACTTTCAGACAAAAAAGGAAAAAATATAAGAGACAATTCAGTAAATGGAGTTAGGTTGCTTTTTTTTTTTTTTTTTTTTAACTAAGGAACAGGTACAGATCTCAAGTTTTAACCACATGTTTGCCTCACTATAGTATTTAAGAATGAATAATCATTAAAATTTTTCTTAATATTGTATTCTTCTATATGAAATAGTTTTTCTAAAACCAGAGTAAGTTTCTGAGAGTGAAAAGTGAGAGATTTTGAAAGCTACACTTTTTCTTTCTTTCTTTTTTTTTTTTTTCTGACACAGAGTCTCACTCTGTCACGCAGGCTGGAGTGCAGTGGTGCAATCTCAGCTCATTGCAACCTCTGCCTCCCGTGTTCAAGTGATTCTCCTGCCTTAACCTCTTGAGTAGCTGGGATTACAGGCACAGGCCACCACACCTGGCTAATTTTTTGTTTTTAGTAGAGATGGGGTTTCGCCATGTTGGCCAGGCTAGTCTTGAACCCCTGATCTCAAATGATCCACCTCTTAATGTGCTGGGATCACAGGAGTGAGCCATTGCGCCTTGCTGAAAGCTGCATTGTTCAGAACTCTCCTATTAATACTGAAACAAAATAAAAAACAGTAGGCCATTGCAAGGACTTTATCTTTTCACTGAGTAAAACGGAGAGCCAGTTCAGGATTTTCAGACAGAAAAATGACAGGCCTTGACTGATATTTTAAAGAGACCACTTTAGCTGTTGTGCAAGAAGGACTATAAAGGTATAAGAGAAGTAGGGAGACCATTATACAGGCATTGTGGTATACAGAGGAGAGATGATGGTTGTTTAGACCGCTGGAAGTGATGAGAACATATTCTAGATATGTTTTGAGAAGAGAGTCAGTAGGATTTTCTGAACATGGGGACTGAAAGGAGATTCAGACTAAGGATTTTGATCTGACCAGCTAGAATTAGAATTGATTATCCAGAGTGGCCATCCATGGGTGGAGTGGTTTGAAATATAAGAATAAAAATTTAGTTTAAGACATATTGATTCTCTAAGTGTGGAGTTTGTGAATGATGCCTGGGTTGGTGATATAAATTTGGGAATTGTTCGCAAATAAATGATATTTAAAGGTATGTAACTATAAGCGAAAAGTGAGGGAATAATGACATGTATAACAGAGAAAAGGGTTAAGGGCTAAGATTATAATCAGTCTGGGAGAAGGAAAGGACATGAAGAACAAATGGCCAGTGAGGTAAGAGTCAGCCATGTGGAAATAAAATTTCAAGTTGGAGCATGAGATCAACAGTGCCAAAAGCTTCCAACAGGTCCTATAAAATGAGGACTGAGAAACAAACATTGGGTTTAGCCATGAAGGTTACTGGTGACAATTTCCGTGGAGCAGAGGTGATGAAAGCTTGATTGGAGTATGTTATAGAGCAAACAAAAAAACTAAATAAAGTGAATGTAGATAGTTATTTGGAAGGTCTCATTACAAAGCAGAGAAGAAAAGAAATGGTATAGCTACTGGCAGGAGAATGGAGTAGAACAGAGTTTGTTATTATTTTATTTCTTTATTTAAAACATGAGTACTATTCATGGGATATAAATACTCTTGTCAAAATTTTATATGTTGTAAGAAAAAGTATGCAAGTCACAGTAAAACCATCAGCTTACGAGTCACAGTGGGTCTAAATGCTAGCTCTGACGCTTTCTGATTGTGGGAACTAGGCCAACTTAGTAAGTATCAGAATTAGCACTCAGATTTTTTAAAATTATACTTTAAGTTTTGGGGTACATGTACAGATCTTGCAGGATAGTTACATAGGTATACACATGCCATGGTGGTTTGCTGCCTCCATCCCCCATCACCTACTTTAGGTATTTCTCCCAATGTTATTCCCTCCCAATCTCCCCACCCCCTGCAATCCATCCCCTAGCCCCCCCACCCCCCAACAAACCCCAGTGTGTGATGGTCCCCTCCCTGTGTCCCTATGTTCTCATTGTTCAATACCCACCTATGTGTGAGACTATGTGGTGTTTGGTTTTCTGTTCTTGTGTTAGTTTGCTGAGAATGATGGTTTCCAGATTCATCCATGTCCCTGCAAAGGACATGAACTCATTCTTTTTTTATGGTTGCATAGTATTCCATGGTGTATATGTGCCACATTTTCTTTATCCAGTCTATCATTGATGGGCATTTGGGTTGGTTCCAGGTCTTTGCTAATGTAAAAAGTACCACAATGAAATATGTGTGCATGTGTCTTTATAGTAGAATGATTTATAATCCTTTGGGTATATACCCAGTAATGGGATTGCTGGGTCAAATGGAATTTCTATTTCTAGGTCCTTGAGGAATTGCCTCACTGTCTTCCACAATAGTTGAACTAATTTACACTCCCACCAACAGTGTAAAAGTGTTCCTATTTCTCCACATCCTCTCCAGCATCTGTTGTCTCCAGATTTTATAATGATTGTCATTCTAACTGGTGTGAGATGGTATCTCAATGTGGTTTTGATTTGCATTTCTCTAATGACCAGTGATGATGAGCATTTTTTCATATGTTTGTTGGCTGCATAAATGTCTTCTTTTGAGAAGTGAATGTTCATATCTTTGCCCACTTTTGATGGGGTTGTTTTCTTGTAAATTTGTTTTAGTTTTTTTGTAGATTCTGGATATTAGCCTTTTGTCAGATGGGTAGATTACAAATTTTTTTTTTCCCATTCTGCTGGTTGCCGTTTCTTTTGCTGTGCAGAAGCTCTGGGGTTTAATTAGGTCCCATTTGTCTATTTTGGCTTTTGTTGCCATTGCTTTTGGTATTTTAATCATGAAGTCCTTCCCTATGCCTATGTCCTCAATGGTATTGCCTAAGTTTTCTTCTAAGGTTTTTATGGTGTTGGGTCTTATGTTTAAATCTTTTCTTTGAAATTGATTTTAGAATTAGATTTTTATCTTGAATTATCTATATGATGGCACAACTGTGTGAGTTGAACATAAATCTGATGTTTTAAAACAACCAGAAATTACTTTTAATTAAACCAGAAGAATACTTTTAGGGATTGAGTGGATCAATTTTTTTTTTTTTTTTTTGGACTTGCTCTATAGCCCAGGGTGGAGTGATCTTGGCTGACTGCAACCTCTGCCTCCTGGGTTCCAGCGATTCTCTTACCTCAGCCTCCCATGTGGCTGAGATTACAAGTGTGAGTCCCCATGCCTGCCTAATTTTTACATTTTTAGAGACAAGGTTTCACCATGTTGGCCAGGCTGGTTTCGAACTTCTGACCTTAAGTGATCCATCTGCCTTAGCCTCCTGAAATGATGGCACTATAGGCATGAGCCACTGTACTTGGCTTGGTTAATGACTTTTTAAAGGAGTTACTTGTTATACCAAATTTGTTAATTTGCCCAATAATACTTATTGGACTCTTACCCTGCTTGGTGCAGCTTTAGCTGCTGGCAACTAAATAAATTAAAAAAAAAAATCTTTGTATCATTTGGTAGGAGCAGACAGAAATCTAAACAAACACATTCAGTAAAGTATTATAAGAGAAATTTACAGGTTAGACAAAGCAATGAAAGAAAAGATGGACAATTTTACCCAATGATAACAGGAGGGGTTTATAGAAGAGGTAGAAGAGGCATCCTGAAAGATAATTATGTGTTTCCCAGATGGGCAAATGGAATACTGTGTTCCTGACATGGAATAACCATGGCAGAGGCATGACTTCTCAGTTCATAGTTAAGGTAAGTAGACAGATGAAAAGAATGACTGGTGGACAGTCAAGGGATAGTTAGGTTAAGCAGATAAGATGCAAATGAGTGGTGGATAGCAAGAACAGGGAATGGGGGTAATTCTGGAGGTAAAGATACAGAGATAGGTAGGGGCCAAAACACAGAAGGCCTTGTTTGCTTTGCTAAATAATTTGTACTTTGCCTTATAAGAATTGGAGAGCTACTGAAAAATTTTACAGGCAGAACTGATTCTATGAAAGAAAAAGGGATATTATTATTGAGTATCAGGTCTTTGGTCAAAGGAATAAATAACCTTACTCAAGGAAGGGGAGATAGAGATTGTCATGGTCCTAGAACAAGGAAGATTTAGTTTGGAATGGGAGGCACCATGAAGTATGTGAGAATTGAAGGTCACATGCCATGTTTCAGGAGACAGTCTCCATTGATTATGGTAAGAGTAAGAGTAAGAGTAGGATAGATGGTACTAACATCATCCTCTTCTACAAATTCAGACACATTTTTATTGATGGAAAAGTATCATGCTGAGAGTCAAATTATCTGCTAAGAAAGCCAGATCCTCTGAAAGAGCTGAGGGAGAGTAGGCTGGGGAATTTTCTTCTGCTTGAGGTGGGAAGAATATTGATCTGAGTGAAGCAATAGACACTGCAGAGAAATGACTGAGAGCAAGTCAGCAGAGCATGAAGCAATGCAGCAGTAACCATGGAAAAGCTGTGGGTGAGGCCTAGGAGCCCCCTGAGATTCTGAGTAAGGAGAAGGGTTGAGTGTGGGGAGCAAAAAAAGGGGAGAAGGACAGTTATAATGTTAGGAAAGTATTTTATCTTCTTGATTTAACAAATCTTTACAGAAGAAGGAAATGGGAGCCAGCCACCCCAAATTAAGCTTATTGTAAAAAAAAAAAAATTTGATTGTTTAAGTAAATTTGTACTTCAGCTTATGTGAGAAAATGGAGAAAATGGAGATTACCCACATTATCAGGAGGGTGGGTATTTTCTTTGTTATTTCTGGACACTCTCTACTTCTTTCTCAAAGAGAGCATATTCCTGATATGCACAGTGTGTAAATGATTAATAAGTCTTCTTTTTTTCAATTTCCTTTTTTTCTCAGTTCAATAATGTGAATTGGACACTTGTCTGGGTTTCTAAATGGACTTTTAATCTGTTGAATTGAACAGTCAGTTATCTATTAGCCCTAGTATATTTATCATTCCACTGAATCAAATCAACTAGCAGCATATATTTTTTAAATCACATCTGTTGCTTTAAAAAAAGGGGGGGGGGAAGCTGATCTTTATTAGATAAGTGATCCAAACACAGTAAAGATTAAACTTACGTTTCATTCCAGTTGACCAAGAAAAAAAATAATTTCTTGACTGGAATATTTCTGCAGTTTCTCACTTGGCACAGCTTCTTTCCAGCATACGTAAGCCAACAGGTAAAAGAAAATGCTTTGTAGCTAAAAAGAAACAACATCGATTCAATTAGCTTGGCACTTTAAAGAAACCAGCTTTCTATATGGGTCAATTATTTCTGTAGTCAAAAGTCAAATGATAAAGTGATGTTTGCTTGCATGAAGCATGCTTTCAAAATTGCTTTAAGAATTTATGTTGGATATGTCAACAAGACTGTGGAATAGCAGACCCTAAGACCTTCCTTTATTCATGGAGAGAAAAATTCAACAATATGTTGACTAATTCCTTTTGTAAGAAAACCAGAAACCACTTAAGAGGAGGCTCCTATAACCCAGGTGAATTCAAAACCAGCCATGTCAGAGTTGGTAGAAAAATTAGTGGAATTCACTTACCAGAGCCTCTTGGCACAGGGTGGCATGAACAATGGTCAGAAGGAAACTCTCAATTTCTGGCTTCCCCTCAAGGAGGAGGGAAAGAGAACACTGGAACATATATCTAACACTTAGACTTAGCACCATCAAGGCTACCAAAGAAACTAGCTTTTGTCTTTCCTGGATCTAAAAGCTGACAGGAAATGGCACCAGTCTGGGGGCCACTGAAAACAAAGATGATAGTTTGAACTAGCACGTCCTTGCTATTGCTTCTGTCTACAGCTCAGCATACAATGATTAGGAAAACTCCCAATTTATGGCTTCTTCTTGGGGAGGAAAAGAGTTGATTCATGTGTCCAACATTCCAGCTTGTGGGAGTACTATCAGAAGGACTGGTTTCTGTCTTATCTGTCTTGGAGCATTGCAGGACCTGTCATACCCTAGATTCCTGGAGACTGTTGAGCACAAAGGAAAGCTGGGTGGCTTCTTATTGTTCCAGAGGTCCTATGGTAGAGTAGACAAGGCCTCTGTACCTTGTCAGCCTCTCTCTGGTCAGGGAAAGTGGGAGAGAAGAAAGGAGCATATATTCAACATTCCAGCTTTTAAAGAGATTGCCTGAGGGATTTCTTTCTGTTTTATCCAACCAGAAGCACTGATGGGATGCAGCATACTTATGCACACTACTGAAAACAAAATGATCTGATCACCTCACAGGAATTCCACAGAACCTACAACACAACAGACAGACACCAGAAAAAGAAAGAAAATATGAGCTCCACAAAATAGAAACCAGCAAAATCCCTCTACTTGGAAATTTACAAGTACAAGTAGAGTGAAGATGCACTTTTATAAAAGGTTTGGAAGGCACACAGAATCTCTATCCAGGTTTATTTTTGAAGCTTATTTTTTTTTTCAGTGTGAAGCCAGACCACAAAGACTGAGAGAGTTAGCTTTTTTTTTTTTTTTTTTTTCAAATGCACAGATCCCAGCACAAGGTAATAAGGCACACAAAGAAACGGAACCATGACCTAGCCAGGGAAACAAAGGAACAAAACAAACCAATTCTAAGAAAATAAAGATATACAAATTATATGACAAATAATTCAAAATAACCATCATAAACATACTCAATGAAAAATTACAGATGAATAAAATGAGAATATCAACAAAGATATAGAAAATATTATTAAAAGAATCAAATAGAAAGTTTGGAGCTAAAGAATACAATAACTGAGTTGAAAAATTTACCACAGAGATTCTGAATCAGAATTGATAAAGCAGAGGAGATAATCAGTGAACTTGAAGACAGGTTATTTGAAATTGTCCAGCCAGAGAAGCAAAAAATGAAAACAACAACAACAACAACAAAAATCCCACAATGAACAGAAGAAAGCCAAATAGAACAATGGACATGATCAAGTAGGCCAATATATCTATACATTATTATGGGATTTTCAGAAGGTGAAAAAAGAAAAAAAAACAAGGAGGAAAGCTCATTTGAGAAAGTAATGATTGAAAGCTTCCTAAATTTGGGGAACAAAATGAACATCCAGCTTCAGGAAGCCTACTGGCTGCCAACTATGAAGAACCCAAAGAATATCCCATAGGGACATATTAAAATCAAATTACAAAAAGTCAAAGATGAAACGAGAGTTTCACAGGTAGCTAGAGAATGTGACTAAGCACATACAAGAGAACATTCATAAGATTATCAGTGTATTTTTCAGCGGAAACTTTGTGAGCCAGAAGAGAGAGAAATAATATATTCAGTGTGCTGAAAGAAAAACAAAACTGTCACTAAAGAATACTATATTTGATAAAAATCATCCTTCAAAAATGATGAAAGAGAAATATTTTATGAGATGAATAAAAGCTGAGGCAGTTCCTCACTACACGACCTGCTTTATAAGAAACTGTCCTTCAAATTGAAATGAAACAATACTTTAGAGAAACACAAAAGCATCAAAAGTATAAAACTCACTGGTAAAGATAAATTTATAGACAAATACAGAACACTGTAATGGTGCTAAATTAATTACTTTAAACTCTGGTATAGCATTTAAAAGACCAAAGTACAAAAATAGCTACAACAATGTGCTAATGGATATGTAGTATAAAAAGATGTAACTTGTGACATCAATAACAAAGTGTGGTGGAGTGGAAACAGAAGTACAGAGTTTTCTTTTGTAATTGAATTTAACAGCTTAAAGAAGGTTGCTATAAATATAAGATATTTTCTATAAGACTCATGGTAAACACAAAAAGAAACCTATGGAAGACATGCAAAAAATAAACAAGGAAAAAAATCAAAACATGTCACTACCTAAAAAAATCAAAGCAAGTCATTGCCCAAAAAAATCAATGAACTCTAAGAAACAGCCAGAGAGGAAAAGACAGAGAAGATACAAGACAGAAAACAATTAGCAAAATGGTAATAATAAGTCTTTCACTATCAATTACTTTAAAAATAAATAGATTAAACTCCCCAATCAAAAGACATTGTCCATTTAACCAACAGCATGGCTAAATGGACAGAAAGTATATAATATCCAACTAGATGCTACCGACGAAAGACCCATTTAGATTTAAGGACATGAATAGGCCAAAAATGAAAGGATAAAAAAGCTATCCTATGCAAATAGTAACCAAGGGAGCAGGGGTGGCCATACTTACATGATCAAAGTAAAGTTTAAGTAAAAAACCATAACAAGAGAAAAAGAAGGACGTTATATAATGACAAAAAGGTAAATTAACCAGAAGGCTATAACAAAACATCAGAACACTCAATATATAAAGCAACTTTCGAACACCCAACATATAATGTAATCAATGACAGAGCTGAAGCAATAAATAGCAAAACAATAATACTAGATATTAATAATAGCCCACTTTTAATAAGTAGAACAACCAGATAGAAGGTAAGTAAACAGAGGACTGGAACAATGCTACAAACCAAATGGACCTAACAGACAAATACAGAACATTCAACTCAGGAGGAGCAGAATACATATTCTTCTAAAGCAAACAGGACTTTCCAGTCTAGATGACACATTAGGTCACAAAACAAATCTCAACAAACTTAAGAAAACTGAAATAATATCAAGTAGCTTTCTGACCTCAGTAGAATGAAATTTAAAATCAATAGCAGGAAGAAATCTGGAGCATTCACAAATAGGTGGAAATCAAACAACACACTCCTGCAAAACCGATGG